TCAGATGCAAGAAGTGAGGTTCTTACCCACGAAAGCTTATGCTCCCAATACTTCTGTTAGTCTTAAAGGTGCCACAGGACCCTCTGTTGCTTTTTAATTTATGCCATGAGCTATCCCTCAGCACATGGCCCCTTTGCAAATAACCAGCGCTAAAAGTCTCAAGCTCCTGGTGCTGCTGTTTGAGGTGGGACCCCGTGTTTTGCTCTTTTGGGGAAACCACTCCTCGCAGCTTCCATTGCCACAACTAGCAGATCTGAGAAGCCCTGGGCACATACCTTTGTTTCTGGTGTATGGGCTGTTGCCTCATCGCCATATACTGGGTGTCTTCCTGTAAGTGATTCAGTGGAGATTCTGGCTTTAGACGGATCCCATAATAATGATACTTGGAGTTTCCCCTGCAAGCATAACATTAAAATCTATAGATGTCAGATATTTAATGGAGATGACACACAAGCATTGCAATTTACTTTTAGGCTTCAGTGAAACATTTGACAGTGCTAATGGTTTGTGGATCATAAATGTGCATTATAACTTCTGTCTAATCCCAGATGCCAATTTAGCATGGATTTACTTTGCTGAATAAGCATATTGAGAACCTAATTTCACATTCAGAGGTGTACATGTTATTTTCAAATCTTGCTGAAACTAAGTTCCTGGAGATGAGGGTTTATACCCCAAACTTTGAAAGCAATCAAGAGTCCAGGATCCCTTTTACAAGATTTGTTTGAACTCGGCATTTATCTCTGGGAAAATATGGTACCATGTGTCTCAAAACACAGTTCAGTGACATCTACATTGAAAATCTTGCAGCCTAGACCCATTTCAGCCTTGCTTTCAATCTAGTCATAAAATCTTATTCACAGGCAGCTAAGGAATTATCCAAGTCAAATTACTTTGAGCCAAATCTACGTTTAATAATGGAAAGCAATGGAAATATTACCATTGACTTCAGTGGTAGCCAGACATGACCGTTTTTTAGTGACGGAGTGAAGGTTTCTTTCTGTATAAAAATTTATAACATGCTCCTCACTGTGGTATCCAGAAATATACTGTGCTTTAAAGCACCAAGAAGGAAATCCCAGCCCCACTGAAGTCAATGGGAAAACTCCAATTGACTTCAATGGGGCCAAGATATCACTCCAGGAGTTGAATGTTGTAGTGAGAAATGCTCTTGGCTGGTGGTCCTCCATGGTCCCTCACCTGTGGCTTTCAGCCTGCACTCTGGAGCCACAGTGATGCTGAAATGTACCTCTTCACTCAAAAAGGAACTGTTCTGATCTTCTCAGCTCCTGTATCAACTGGGAACTGAAAGTGTCACATTTGATATCAATGTAACTACTTTTTTAAAATTGCAATTGACATTTCAGGTCACAGACTCTTTCATTTTAATTACAGGGTGGTTTCCGGTGAGACTTGTCTTTTAAGTGATCAGTGGCAACTGGAGAATAAGAGGTAAGTTTCAGAATGCAAACTGTTATTTATATAGAATGCCACAGAGATCTTGGAATCATTCTACCCTTCAATCTGAATTGGCTTTATACAGCAACAGAACTTCACTGTAGGGGTTAGATTTCTGCACATAAAATTGGATAAAACCATCCTAACTGACCCCTCACCAGGGGGTGAGAAAAATCTGGTTCCCCTAACTTTTACCCCATGCCCCCAAATTATCTTCAGTCACCATGGCAGAAGGTGGATTTTATACCTGCACTAGTTAACTTTCATGATAGTTTTGCGAGGCTGAATTAAACCTACACAAGATTTCGAAAGAGCAAGAATGGCTGTGAGTTCTTCTCTGGCTGATCAGTACAGATCTGTAGGGTCGCCTAAGCTTTCAGCATTGCACATGGATGACTCAATTAAAGTATCCCCATTAAGCTAGAAGTTCTTTTTAGATCTACCCAGTGCTTGGCTACAGGAATGAGGATGATAATTACACAGCCTGGATGTCCAAAGATAGTAGTTCTGCTCAATCAGACTGCAGCAAGAGTTGTCAATTTGGAACTAATGATGGCCAAGCAGGTCCTCACTGGGACAGGATAAACAGCTGGGAAAGCACTCATTACAGCCTCAGAGACACCCGCGTTGGTGCTCTTCAGAAGTGTGATGATTTGCACTGTATTGAAGAGTCTGAACACATCTTGAATTTAATGATGATTTCACAGCCCAACCACAGACAGAGAATTTAGAAAAAGGAACTGTTGTCTGACAACTGTTTTTCTACATGGAACCCTCCTTGGGGTAGGAATTATTCTCTTCAGGTTTATAAAGGAAAGATTTTGGAATGCTTAGCCCTCTCTGTTGCTGAAATGAAGGATTTTGCAAGCTTTGTGTTATCTGCCTAGCTATTGTAATATGTTTTACATAGCTATTGTCTTAACCCGTTAAAAAGGGATTGGAGTCATTTCAGTGGACCTAAACTTGTGACTCGAAGTTAAAGAACTACTATGGCCAGGAGGAGCCACGCCTGGCATATGCCAAAGCCCTGCTCAGCGCTGGCACGAGGAAGACTCTCCGCCCCACAGCTAAGCTCTGGAGTGGCGGGGGAGGGGGAGCGATTTCCAGCCTGTTCACGCCCTGAACCTGTAGGTGCCACAGCAGCCCCTGGGGCAGGGGCTTAGCACCCTCTTCACCCACCCCTCACCCTAGATCCTGCCCCCAGGGACCATGGGGCTGCTCCACCCCCTAGGCACCCTCCTCTGTTGAGTCACCTCTTTGGTCCGGTTCGCTGAAGCCCCTGCAGTCAGGTTCCCTGGGCCCTGGTGCACAATGAATCCTTAGGGCTTAACCCCTTCCTGCCCGCACTGTAGCCAGGGCACAGGAGGTGGCTGGGTTATGTCGGTGGCCAGCCTGGAGATGTTAGCTGCCTTTCAACACTGTGCGGGCAGGAGGGGACAAGCTGGGGGGGAGGGGGAAGAGACGAGCTCTGCAAAGACACGGGCCAGGTCATCCCTTCCCTTCCTCCTCTTTCCCTGCACCTGGAAGCAGCTCCCGTCCATTCCCTCCTGCACAATGCCGAAAGGCTGCTGCTGGCCACCTTCTGCTGTGAACCCTGGCAGAAATCTGGGGAGGGTGGGCATGTGACCCTGCATGCCCCCTGCCCATATGTTGCCTCGGGAAGAAACGATGCCAGATACCAGGAGAGGCAGGTCTGTCCTGGGGGCACAGCCAGGCATGGAGGGCAGAGAGCGCTGGGCAGGGAGGGTCAGTCGGTCACCCCCACTGTGTGAGAGAGGTGTACGGGAGTGTGTGTGTGTGTGTGTGTGTGTCACCTCCCCCAGTGTGTGTGTGGGGAAGGGGGGCAAGGGTGTGTGTGTGTCACCCCTTACCATATGAACCCTAAAGTCTTAAAGATAAGAAGGTAAATAAAAAGAATCCAACTATATAGTATTTCCTTTTAACAGGGGCTCAGTCAACTTGATGTTAATTTGAACGTTTGTACGATTGATTGCCATTGAACTTGCTTGAATACGAGTAATTTTACAGGCGTCCCGTATTCAGTATATAGGGAAATACGGTCACCCTATGCATATTTGGGGTTTTAACTATCTTCTAGGCACAAATATTCAACCTATTCTGTTTTAGTTAGGGCCCTCCCACTTTTTAAAAAGAAGAACACTCCGCTCACGAGACTCAGCCCAGCACCCTGGAAGTTTTATAGGTAAGAAGCCTACTTCTGCATTAGAAAACTGAGCAGCATGTCTGTGTCTAAAGGTTTGGGCTCAGATTCTGATCTCAGTTACACTGGAGTAAAAACCTGGAGTAACGTTACTGAAATCAACAGAATTCTTTTGGTGTAATCTTTCGGTGAGATCAGAATCTAATCGTTTAATTGCAATACGATTCTCTAAGTCTCCAGCTCCTGATAGCAATCTTGATGAAAAGGGACCTCATTTGTGACACGGATTGGGTTGAGTGGAACAGAGTGTGAGATTGGAAACCAGTTTCCTCATCTGCTGTAACACTGAACCATGAAGCCAAAGTTAAACCTGACTGTTTAGCTACTAAAACAATGGGGTTTATTATTGGTAAGCCAAAATTCAAAACAGAATAAAGACTGCTTAAGAAACTGGCCTATGAGCTCTGTTCACTCCCCACATGGTCAGGCATCCCAAATGAGATCTCTTCAGCAAAATGGCTGCCTCTCCGCCTCGGAGCAGCTTCAGGAACACCACAGTAATTAAACTTTGTCCTCAAATACCTGACACAGCTTATGACCTGTTAAGATTACTTATATTGCTTAAAGTAGCAATTTTCCATTTGAGATATTGTTTGGTTGTTACTATATAGACCTAGGAATAAACGGCTGTTACCGGTGAATAATGTTGGGTGGGTCTGCAGCACCAGTGACAGGAGGGAAGGAGCGTTTTGTGGTATAGATTGCGGCAGAACAGGGCAGTAGTTCTCCCTCCTGCAAAACGTAAAGTCAAGAGCCACTGTTCTTAAGGACAATCTGCAACCACTGAAAACAGTTACTACTATGACGACGACTAATATTTGAATTATTGTAACATCTTTTATGAGGCTCTCGGAGGTTTTACAAACTTCAGTTAAGCCTCACACACTCCTCTGAAGGAGGTATTAAACCAATTTTACAGATGGATAAAATATATATAGGCACGTGAAGGAGCTCGCCTAAATCCCCAATAGCGAGTCTATGGCAGAGCTGGGAATTATCCATGACTCCTAATACTCAGCAGGAGCGGCGCCAGGGTTTTTGGCGCCCTACGTGGGGGTCCTTCCGCACTCCCGGTCGTCGTCGGCAATTCTGCGGTCGGGGGGTCCTTCCGTGCTCCCGGTCTTTGGGGCACTTTGGCGGCGGGTCCCGGAGCGAGTGAAGGACCCGCCGCAGAATTGCCGCCGAAGACCCGGAGCACGGAAGGACCCCCTGCCGCTGAATTGCCACCCCCCCCAAATCCTGGTGCCCTAGGTGACCCCCTAGGTGGCCTAAATGGAAACGCCGGCCCTGATACTCAGATCACTAAACAACAAAGCCTCTTAAGTAATCCACACCACATTATTAAAATGGTGATAACCATAAAAAAAGATGGCAAGTCGTTGCCCGCTCATCCATTACTCATTGCAACATCACTGAATGCAGCGAGTGTCCAGTGCAATGGTATTTAGCATCTAATTGAGTGAAGTGGCATTTCCGCTCATTGGCCTTTCCATGACCTTTCAGAAACAGCGGTAAAGTGAAACAGATGGGGCCAAAGAAAGGTGAGAATGTGCTTCTGCTACCACTGAACCCTAATCTCAACCCCCTTTGTACTAACCTTGTTCCCAAGCGCCGAGTTTTCAGCCCCATGAACACAGAACGAATCAGTTTTCCAAAGGAAGCAGCATTCACTGGATCCAGTTTGTGCTCTTGGCAGTGCCGCAGGTAATGGTTATACAGCGAGCTCCTGGGAAGACTCACACCTTCAGCAGTCTCATAATTGTCCAACAGCCACTGGAGCTTTATGTACAAAAATGTAAATTTTTAAAAACCCACACACGTGAAAGACTAAAGATGTTTAAAATGGCCTGCTTAAAAAGTTGACAACATTTAAAAGGGAGGAGAACCTTCTTGAGGTGATCAGAGTTCAAGAGGACTTCAGTGGTTGGTAGTTAGTACATAACTGCAGCTAACGCTTGTGTGTTTCAATCTGATATTTATGTCCTCCATGATGTAGGAAAAGTGTGAAATCAAAAAAGGCGGTCACATACAGCACCCAAGTATACATTGCCACTTATGCTGGTGTCTTCCCTTCACTCAATTACATGAATGCAAGGGGAATACGAATCATGGAAAGCCCCCCAAAAAAGTCTCATGAGCTCACTGTTAAGGAGAACCAGGGCTATGGTACCTGATGCTATTTACTAGGAAAGAAAGATCTCCGAGGAATCTGAATACATTGCTTCTAGGTCTATTCACAGTTGTCAACTGCTAACGCAGCAGGCAAAGCTTGTTTGAGTTAATGTACCTTAATTTCAAGCTTGAAATGTTTACAACTGTCCGCTTCACAACAAAATAAATGGTTGCCAAACCCTACCTTAAAATCTGGCATGTTACCAGCTATTTTTCAAAATGTATTGTCTGAACTTTACTTCTCTTGACATTTATCTTGATCAGAGTTTGCAATTAGATATAAATTATTTACGTTCAGCCAGTTTGAAAGGGCAGGTCAGTCACACAACTGCAGTTCATGAATTAGAATGTAAAGCCTCTCTAATTGGCTAAATGGCAGATTCAGAAAAATAAAAAGAGTACAATTTTAAAGCAAATATTGACTCATAAAATAAAAAAGCAAGCGAAAAGCTAGATGTACAACCAGGAGTAAATATTGATAAGGTACTTCCTTTAATAAAAATGAGGAGAATCCTGATGAAACGTTGGGCCAACTTTTTCAAAACTAGGGCCTGATTCTGATCCCCCTTTACACTGGTGTGAATCAGGAGTAACTCAATGGAAGCAGATGGAGTTCCATTGATGTAAAGCTAACAGGAGAGCAGAATCGAGCTTTGTGTGCCAAAATCATAGCTGCAAAATATGACCCTGATAGAACAAAGCATTCAAGTATGTGTTTAACCTTAAGCGGATGCTTTGTCTCTGAAGTCAATGGTATTAAAGCACGTGCCAAGTGCTTTGTACCCTTGTACATGCAGGTCTCTGTTCAACAAACCTGCTCACACACAAAAAGGCTTGTATCTTCCTGACAGCAGGTGTATAGCAGTGCATCTCTAGCAGCCTACTTCACTACTTGATATTCAAGTTTTACAGCAGTAACTCCACTGAAATCAGAACTCAAGTGTGCAGTGGTGAAGCAGGCCCATTTATTTCAACTGAGGTATTTTCAGCGTATGCTTCTGTCAGAGCAGAATCAGACCTGAAGTATGCACCATGCTCCTTTTATGCACAGGATGAGCTAATTGCATCTATGCACATGTTTTGTAGCTGCAAGTTGAGTGCCTAAAATTTGAAACTTCAGCCTGTTATGAGCTACTGCATACAAGAAAAATGTAAACGCTATATTTTAGGCTTTATTTCTCTATATTAACAGGAAATCTTAGGGCCTGACCCAAATGCCTTTGAAATTCAGTGAACTGTTTCCATTGATTTCAATGAGCTTTGGGTCAGATCACTAGATACCAGGGGCAGAAGAGACTACTTGGGTCATTTGCTCTGAACCCTGTATTTTGGAGGGCCGCTTGGAACATCATTCCCATTAACCTCTTATCTGCTCTTTTATACGCATCCCACAGATAAAGACTTTTCAAAATCTAAACCTTCAGGCTCAAGCTCTGTTTTAAAAGGATATTGAGAGTATGGTGACCTACATCACTTCACACCCTTATTTGCAGAGGGAGTCCTATCTCCATGGATCCCTGAAACAAGAACGGCACACTAAATTCTTACAATTCTGTAGCCATTAAGTTACTGATTAAGCCATCTAGAACAAGAGATGAACCCAAGCGCTCCTAGCACACAGATAAGTAGTGCTGTTTTAAATGAGTCTGTATCCATGTTCATTTTAGCCCGTCCCATGTATTTAGAAGATTCACTGGCCATAAGTTAACCTTTTTCTTCATTAATTCCATTTGTCCTGTAGGCCCAACTAGGTGTCAGAATCATAGAATATCAGGGTTGGAAGGGACTTCTGGAGGTCATCTAGTCCAACCCCCTGCTCAAAGCAGGACCAATCCCCAACTAAATCCCCAAATGGCCCCCTCAAGGATTGAACCTACAATCCTGGATTTAGCAAGCCAATGCTCAAACCACTGAGCTATCCCTCCCCCCACAACTAGGTTTGACCTTCTAAAAATGTTCCATTCCAAGGAACTCACTCAGGAAGTTAGCTGCTAATAACTTCTAAGGACTTGCCTCGGGAAGCAGATGTTACAAAGATTTTTGGCATTTCTCTTTTTTAGCTCCTGAAAAGTCCTAGCATTTATTTCATGTGTCAGAAGTAACCGAAAATAGGGGGCGGCAACCTGCAATTACGCAATTGTTTGCTGAGACGTTGTCTCAAGGACTAGATCTACTGATTTTTTTGTCACAGATGTGAAGATTCTTTCTTCTTTAGCTCACTGCATTCCTCCTACTCTATCCATGGAGAATTATTCCCTGAAGTAGTTTTACTAGTGCTTTGTCCAGTCTAGTTTTAAAAGGAATTTGGGGTAAAATCCTGGCCCCATTGAAGTCAATGGCAAAATTTCAGTTTCTACCATTTCCCATAGGAGATTAATTTCATGGCCATGAAACATTTCCTGATATTCACTGCGTATTTTCCATTGCTCAGATTGATCCCATCATTAGTGATACCCAGTTATAGAACCCTACGTGATTCCTCGCCTTAAAGGTTTCAGCAGGAGATTTTCAAATAGGGTTGGCTGACACTAAGCAAGCAAATCCATATTTGGGGGCCTAAAGAAATGACCTGATGTTCAGAAATGCAGAGAACTAACATCCCCTGTTGACATCCCTGAAAGTTGTGGGTGTTCAGAACCTGTAGCTGCTCAGAACCTCTGCAGCGTGGGGCATGGGTCACTTGCTGGAGGATTCTCTGCACCTTGAAGTCTTTAAACTAGGGTTACCATACGTCCGGATTTTCCCGGACATGTCCGGCTTTTTGGGGCTCAAATCCCTG